AATAATATTGAAACTTGAAAACGAAAATCGACTTTTATGATTATTGATTTAATAGACTAGTTTTATTTAATTTTCAAGTCACCTACTGACAAAAAAATAAAAATAAAATAAATTGATTCATTAATACTGATCAATGTAATTAAGAATTATATCAAAATAATTAATTACCCGCAATAACCATTTCCATGTAATTAAGCCCCGTTAAAAATTCGTTGTCAATTTGTCCATTATTTTTGGATAAATTCAATTGAAACTCTTGACGTACTTTCTCTTGAACAGGTACATTCAACGCTAATTCATATAATATATAACTTAAAGTACCGGACGTTGTTTCAAACCCAGCAGCAAACATTACAAAAGCGTTTGCTACAATTTGTGATTCCGAAAATTTTTCTAAAACACAATTTTAAAATTTGATAAGTATACAATTAGAACTTTATTTAATTTTAATATTTTCTATGTATAAAAAATTTACCTTCTTTTGGTAAATTTGTATTTAAAGTCAAATCATTTCTCGCTTGCATCAAACAATTAACGAAGTCATTTCTGACAATTTTATTTTCAATTCTATACGTCAACGTTTCTTTAAATGCCTCGTGAAAAAAGTCAGTTGCTTCTGGTGGAAAATCTTTCACTCTTACGACTTTCAAAAGTGTGGGTGTAACCATCAGGCACAGTTCTCTAAATAGCATTCTCATTGAAGGTATGAATATCGATTTTCCGTACTTACGAAATGGATTTTCATCATTACTTATGGCGTTTAACTTGAGCCCAAAAGCACAAGTGCCGATGACGTCAGTCGAATACTTTCCCATGGTGTCTTTTACTTCTATTTCGCCATTTGTCCCCATTAAATCGCCATCAATGTTTTCCATTAATTTAGTGCCACATTCTTTGATCTGGTCATACATTATCTTGAGTTTTCCCGATGTGAAAGCAGGACTTAGTTTGTTTCTTATTGTTTTCCATCGAGGATTTTCCATGAAGAACAAGTTTTCCGACAATGGATTGTTTGAGAAATCCGAGTAAATACCACGGTCGGGGAAATATGAGAAATCTTTTATTAGCACGTTAATGATTATTTCTGGATCACGAATCATCAAATACGGTGTCCTCATCTGGAATAGTCCTCCGTATTTCAGACCGGAGAACTTGTAATAGATTTTATCAAAGAACTCTAACGGGTGGTCTTTGACCAAAGCTACTTTCATAAAGTTTCCGAACAACGGAATTGGCTTGATGTAGGGCACGTTGAGTTTTTTCCATTTATCGAACGTTGAAATGGAAAAGTAATAGGTGATCGACACTGCGATCAAAAACGCAGTGGCGATGTATATCCTACAATCGGTGATGGACGTTAATTGATACATTGTGTGGGCGGTATTGTACACAATCCTAAATATTAAACAACGCGCACTGTACACATTCGAGTCGACACTGTTTTCCCTGATAGACAACGGAGATTATTAATTATAAAGAGAATTATAAGGTACCACAACCGTTATATTTAGTGGGGTTATCTGAACCACCATTGGTATCAGCACAATAATGCGTTATTATTGCGCATAATATGCGTGAGTAAATTTGTGTGTGTGTGTGTGTGTGTGTGTGTGTACCACCTCTTCGTTAAATATAATGTACCTACCTAATTATTAAATGTTAGACGTTCAGTAAAGAATGTCAAATATTCTATCGATGGATATTTTTCTCCCGGGAATATGAGTTTAATGTTAATCATTAGTGATAACTGATAAGGCTGCAAAGCACTTTAAATTAGTTAAAATATTTKATTAAAAAAGTTTGAATTTGATTTGTTTCACGTTCAAGTTTATAAACCACGTACATATATGTACATATTATACTTAAATATTTAGTTTTTAAATTAATAATAATATTATTATATACTATATATAGGTATCTATCTTACATCGTAAAATTATAATTTTATAAATAAATATCAAATTATTATATTGAAGATGGTCTGAATCTTATTTTGAATAGCTATATAAAATAGATAAGAGTAACGATAGAAAATTTTTTTTTTGTAATTTTGTCAATGTTGTTCAGTGCGTGTAGTGTAGATATGGTGTTTATAGCTTAAAATTTAATACAATATTATAATAATTACAAAAGTTTAAGAGCAGAATGGTTGATTTGTTTTCTCTTTCTGACCCACTCACGCATAGCATTGCAAGCTTACATTCAGCAGAACGAACCTTGAGTCGTTAATTTCAATATTAAAGTTAATTGGCCTATACCTAAAATTGAGAACATTAACTGTGTTCTCGTGTTGGTATATTTATGATATTTTAATTTCAAACCTATTTTTAAATTGTAAAATTTCAAATATTTATTACTCCCATAAAAATTTAAATATCTTAAGAAATGAACGTGATGAAAAAAAAATGAAAAACGTAGGAATGTAGATTTTGAATTTTGATACAGAATTTCTTAACTTTAAATTTGATGATAATATGTCAATTCACTCTAAAACTAAAGCAAACAACACGATGTTGATTCTACTAGACGCGAATTTGCTTTGTTGAGAGTGGGTCAGAGAGAAAAAACCAACAGTACGCATCCATCATCTTAGTAAATTACAATATCTTTGTTGAAATAATTTATATTTAAAAAAAACTATTAATATTCAATATGATTAGAATTTTATTATTTTGTGAATTTATATTTTATTTTGTTTGATTTAAAAATTAACTTAGTAGTAAAGCATAGTATATATATATATATA